TTATCTTTTACTGCCAAATGATTTATTAGAACTCAGAGCCAAAACAGATAAAAGCCCTAGGGAAGTACTGTATCTTTCAAAGAGTTAAGCTCTAAGAGGACTTAAATGCTCCAGACAGGAGGGCTGGGGTTTGGGAGGAAGGTGAGGAGCACTCTTGCCAAACAAATAAAGATTTCCCACACATATGTCAATGCAATTCTCTGCATCAATACCTGAAAAAGGAGCAGGCATTAAAGAAACGCACACTTAAAGCCATGACTAACGAGGATACTTTTGTATCCCAGAGTCTGGATTAGCCAATGAATCTTTCCAACTCTCTAACTTGAAGAATAGCATTTGGCACAGTGCGCTGCCATCTGCCAGCCCTTTCTTTAGCTCCCTGCATTCCCCGAGGTGCTGCCTGGAGCTGCCCCGCAGTGCCCCGCACAGCAACTGCAGACAGCAGGGAATGCAGACAGACATGCAAAGTGGTTAAAAGGGGAAAGCCGGCTCTGTGCCGGGCTGGGGAACAGGTGGATCTGGATATTGGGAGCTGGAGAAACCAGGCTTCTGTTACACACGGCTGGGCCGCAGCCTTTGCACAAGCACGGGGTATTCTGGTGAAAGTCAGACACAGTAACCTCGTAGTAACCTCTAGTCTGGCTCACAGCCACCACGGAGGACTCTGGAGGACTGTCCCTTGGTGCTGCATTGATTAGATTTCTTCCCATAATACAGCCAGTGTTTTTGCTCAGTAAACCTTACTAACAATTGAATTAAGGATAAAGAGTGAAAGGGGAAATAAAAGCTGATCTCCATGTGAAAATGGGCCATAAAATTAACAAGGTTCTCAACATCAAGTAATTCTGTCTGCTCTATTGTGGCCAGAAAATCAGAGCCTGTAAAATACTTACACAAGCAAGGAGGAAAAAAGAACCAATAAAAATATTCCAGAATTTATGCAGCAAGTTGAATGTTTAAACACACAACACCTAAGAAATATAAAAGTTTAACTTCCCCTACTACATTTAAATATTTCCTTGTCCGTATATTATACATGCATCATTTTTGGATACTAGTTATGTTGGCAAACACACATTTTCCACAATCTTTTATGGTGCTGGGGAAATGCAAATATACAAGTCTCCTGATTTCCAAGTCTTGCAGCATCAACACTACATAGAAAGCATGTTTACAAGAACAACCAAAAAAGCCACACACTGTTAAATAAAATGTGGATGATAACCTGAGACATACCAAGTCCACAGTATAGTAATTTTTCCTCTAAGAATATCAATGCATGGAGGTATGACAACCCCAGCACACTCCCAAATCTTGCTGGATACTGAGAGTGCCCCACTGTGGATCACCAGTATTCTTTGCTGGAATGATCCTTAATTGCTGGAAATGGAACCAAACTCCAAATCATTGTCACTGCAAAGACAATGGTAACACTGAACATTCCAAATGAACAGCCTCCATTCCTTTAAGAAAGGAACACCACTTTCTATCAATAATGAATCATCCAGGCTCTGAATAACAATTATAACACTCACCTACTTGGTAATTAATGTAAGAGAAACTATGATCTTTCTAACATAAACATAACCTACTACTGAGTATTAGAGCTGAAAGGATGAACAGGGTTGTCATGACTTCAGCCATCCACACTGCATGAGAACTGATAAAGTAAGTAAACTAAGTATACTGCAATACCTAGAGAAAAAGGAGCACAGAATACATAGGACTGCTTTAATAAGGCATGTGGGAATACACAGACAATTCATTTATACCTTCTCTAATAACAGGTGCTTTCAGAAAGGTCTGTCACCCCAAAGTGATGCACAGAGATAGCAAGGCTGGTATAGTATGCAAGGTTCATTTGGAAAGGTTTAGACCTGCAGCAGAACACCAGACTAGATCTTAAGCAGATCTACTCAAGCTACCCATGTTATCACAACTGGGACCTAATAATATCACAGAGAAACAATGATAATGACCTTTAAATACTGGCATTTGTTCGAGGTTTTCTCCCTGAGATCTTTTATATGAATGACTCTGGTAAAGTAATGTCAAGAAGCAACAATCAGACACAAAATAGCCAAGTAAAAAGTCATCACCACAAGAAGATGTTGCATGTTAGCAAGCCTTTTCACTTCTGGAAACACAGGCAGTACAATTTACAATTCTGTTTAAAAAGCTGGTATTTCTGACCCTATAACATGAACTGTGGTAAAGGAATGAAAGCTGCCCTTCACCTGGCACTAACTCACATTCCCACTGCTGCTCTGTAATGGCCTTTGGAGGGTCCAAACACTGGGCAAACTAATTGCTTGCAAACTACTTGCAATCTATGTTCAGAGGGGGAAAGTCTTGCTTAAAAATAATTTAAAAAATCAAATAAAAAATAACCTCAAGAATTTTCATGAAAGCAAATGAGATTTTTCATGAAGGTCCTTTATGTGTTTAGGAGCTTAAAACAATTGTGTTGTATAAATACAATACAGTTTGCACAAATGGCCCTTCAAATATTCCAACACAACTCAAGTTTCCTGAGTGCCACACTCTTTCTATATCCAACAACTCCTTTTCAGAAAAGGCTCAGAAAAGGATCAGACACTTGATATACTCCACTGTGACACTTTGCCCTCTACCACTCAAACAAGCAACATATGCCACTGTAGGATGAATTCAACATACACTAACCACAGACCCCAGCAAGAGGTCTATGAAGTCTTTCATTTGTGCCATCTAAGTATGGTAAATTAAACCCCTATATGTTTATAAGTTTATCTGACATATAGATGTGCAATAATTTACAAAAACATGGGTATCAACATCACTAAGAACAAGCTGCTTGCATGAACTGCTGAGAAAAGTGGAAGGCTGGATTCTCCCCAGAAATGGAGGCTGGATTCTGCAGGGAACCTACCCAGTTTCCCATGCACTGCACTGCCCCAGCATTTAGGGGAACTCTAGGCCTTTCCCTGGCCTTGGGCACAACAACAGTCAACAGCCCTTCTTGGAATTCTTGGAAAGCTGCAGAGCTCAGCTGAGAGATCCCAAAAGAGAGTTATTAATGAAGGCATTGTTAGCTGTGTGCTCTGCTGGTGGAATACAGCGTGCCTGCTATTTCAGAACAGAGAACCCTGGCCAGCATTGTCCTCCCCAGTTCATTGTATGGCCCATGTGCCATGGGAGTAACAGAAGGGACAGTGCAAGTCCCACGTTCCTTCCAGTTTCTCTGTCAGCTCTGAACACAGTTTGTGACACCACACTAACAAGCTGAAGGCAGTTTGCAGAAGGTATGTGCAGATAACTCACCTCAAGCACTTCAGCTACCACACAGAGAAGTCTTCCTTTCTCCTCAGAGTGCCTGTCTGCAAGACACACTCTGGTGGCTCACACACAGTAATCTGATGGTTGAGAGTTCAGCTAAAAATAGATGGCAATAAAGTTCTGCCAAAAGAGGTGTCTGCTCTGGATCGTTCCACCAGCAAATGGTGTTTCCAAAAGCTCCGTGTGGAACCGCCCACATGGCTGCTCTCCAGATGTTGGCCATGCAGACATCTCAAGGAAGCAGAACATGCCTGCTGCCTGTTAAAATGAAACACGTAATGGGAAGAGACCTAGGGGAGCAGACAAACAGAAAATACAAGCCCTCCTAACTGCTATTTCAGAAAAATCCTTTCAGATATTGACTAAGATACGGCTTATCAAAGCAGCAAATAATTTAAAGAAGTCTTGACACAAATGTCTTGTTTGAATCCTGCCTGCTGGGACAGCTGTCCCTAGAAGGATGCACTTACATGTACACATCACAAAAACACAGCTAGGAATGCTAGGAATGCATAAGGCTGGCCAGGACTATCATAAGCTGCCTGGTACTTTGAAGGCACTTTCAACTTTTGAATTAACGGAAAAACACTTCTTAATCCCCCAAGGAAGCCGGATTTCAGACACCATGTAAAAAAATGCTCTCCTGGAAGAGGAAACCAAATGTTATTAACTTCTAGGTCCACCTTCAGAGAATTGACTAGAAATCCAGATGTCTTAACTCTGTAACCTGTGATCCGTGTCCACATCATCCGCGCTTTTGGCTCCAATTTCACCTCAACTAAACTTGCTTTGCACTGAGTTATTATATAAACACCTACTGTTCAACTGAAACCAAAAATCTCTTTCAGACCTTCCCCCTCTATCTATCTTGGGGCAACAAGCATGTTTGAAACTACCTAGTAACTCACATGAGATGATGCCGGGCAGTTCGGTCCAACGCGGTGGTCCTGCCATTTTCATCACTGAAAACATCACTGTTTCTTGCTGATCCTTTAAAAAAAAGCAAAGCCTTACATCAATACAACCACTGAGGGTCAGTCTCAGAAAATAAGTGACCCAAGAAAAAGCCCACTCATGAGAAAACCCACAGGGAAGAGAAAATAGAGGTATTATAAAGGTATGCTTTTACTGGAGCTGGTTATTTGCTGGAATATGGTGCCGATACTTTTATTCTCAAGTTGTGTTAAAAACCCTCTCAGCTAATATGCTGTTAACATGACTGAGTTATGCAGTTCACCTTTTTATCACTAACAACATTGACAGGTATATTTGGAGCATATTGGAGGATCTTCAAAGTAATTTATAAGCACTGATGCTAAGGAAGCATTAATCCCTATTTTGCAGGTGAAGAACAGATGTACAAGACAGTGTGCTTTTGTGTGAATCACTGTGGCAGAGGCAGAAACCCAACCTGAGTTACAGACAACTTCTATTACCCCTAGGGGATATAAACAGCTTTCTGAAAAAGCATGGGAGGCATGGGAAGCTGTCCTGAGAAATAAACAGAAAGAACTAATTTCCAGTGTAATCCCCTTAAAAGGAGGTCTAGCATCTGTACACAACTCCCACCTCAAAAGCCAAAATCACACCCAAGAACAAACAGCACGTGCAGTATTTTTAGAGAGAACTTTAGTTAGGTGAGGCAATTTCTGTGTCCCACCTTGCTCAGTCCATGACAGCAACCCCTACCCGGCAACTGGCCTTGTTTGGAGGATATACTCCTTGTTATGTAATTCCAGATATTTCTTGCAGCTTTAAGCTTTTACTGTACTTACATGGGTGAGAAAGAAAGGAAGAATGACTCTACAGAAGGAGTTTCAGATGCTTTATTTTTACTGCCAAACACACCGTTTTCTGAGGTGTTTGGCACTAAGGGTGCAATGTATTAAAATGATTGATTGATTGCATTTTAAAAATAGAAGTACTGTTCTGATACTGGGATTAACTATTATCATTAAGATATGGCAGAATTTTAAACAGCCTTGAAGGTGCACCCTACTGTGAATGTAAGGCACCCTTCCCCACGTTACACACACAAACCAGATAATTTCATAAAAGAACCAAGTAAACACCACTAACTTCACTCCTCACATGGTGAGTATTACATCCCTAGGACCACAGGAACAACTCCATTGTGTCCCTTCAATTCCCATCACACATTTTTAGTTTGCTTTCAGCAAATTTGTAGCCTCCCTCCTTTTTTCCAAAGAACATTATGTGTTGCTCCATTAAAGAAGCTTAATTATAGCTTTTTTGAAGGTTCTTATTTCTAGATATCCTATATATTTTTATCAAATCTTGGTTATCAAAGGGGCTGCAAATAATATTTGGAATAAATGGCTGTGCTAGAGTAGTTCCATTTCTTCCCAGTAGCTGTAGGGGCCGTGCTTTGGGTTTGTGCTGGATCAGTGCTGGTAACACAGGCATCTTTTAGTTCTTGCTAAGCAGGGCCTGCACAGAGCCAAGGCCTTTTCTGCTCCCCACTCACCCCACCAGCGAGGGGCTGGGGGGCACAAGGACTTGGGACAGGACAGGACAGGACAGCTGATCCCAGCTGGGCACAGGGACATCCCAGACCAGGTGGGGTCATGCTCAGCACACAGAGCTGGGGGAGAAGGAGGAAGGGGGGATGTTGGAGTGATGGCGTTTGTCTTCCCAAGTCACCGTGACCGTGGTGGAGCCCGGCTTTCCTGGGATGGCTGAGCACCTGCCTGCCATGGCAAGTGGGGAATGAATGTCCTGTCTGGCTTTGCTTGTGCACAGCCTTTCCTTTCCCTATTAAACTGCCTTTAATCTCAACCCCCGGGTTTTCTTCCTTTTACCTTTGTGGTTCTCTCCCCATCCCACGGCAGGGGAGGGCACGGGTAGCTGTGAGGGGCTGAGCTGCTGCTCAGGGTTAAACCACAACAACAGCATAATTTGGTGGCCCAGTACAGTGGAAGCAGGTTCTGATTGAGAGCTGGGTGAGTGACTGCAGCTACAGGGAGACACTGCCAGCAGCACATTCGTGCCAACAGAAAAGAACAGTTGATGGCATCTACCCAAGGTCAGCTCCTCAAATTCGGGAGCTGGTTTTCTTCCAGACACTGTAAAGTCGCTTGTTTAAACGCAGCCAGTCGGCAACAATTAAGTGTCTAAATAAAACATGCAGATTTGGTGCTCCTTTTGAAAGCCCCTCCGTGCCACGTTGTTTATTTTCCGTTTCTCACAGTGTTCATTATCCAACAATCAGGCCACAAAATGGCGGTCGCAGCGAGGCAGACATTTTGTGAGTGCCTCATTAAAGCCCGGCGGAACAAAGGAGCAGCCACCCGAGGAGCCAAAGGGAGCTCTGCAGCCAGCCAGCCTCCCAGCAAACCCGCCACCTTATTTGGAGCAAAGTTAAAACCAAGCTGCACCGAGAAGCCACCTGAGAGCGTTTTACCAGCGTGCAGGCAAACACGGTCGAGGGCGGCCCTTTCCAAGCCTCTCACTTCGGCGAGTGCAGCTCGTGGCCCAGCTGAGCAGAGACTCTGCCCTGCCCGTCTACTGGGAGCCATATGGACTCAGGACCACCCATTGACAGTGACTCAGGCACTGTAATCTTAACCACATTCTTCCCTTGAAAGTCCAGACACCAATGTTTTCTATTACAGCTCCACGAACTTCACAGTCTTCAGCACAGCTTTAAAAGCACTTGCAACAGAACCAGCACAGGAACACTTAAAGAATGGAGCCTCCACCTCCATCGCAGCAGATGACTTCTCATTCCAATTTAACTCTCATGTCCAATAAGCTAGGGACAGCTAAAGCACAAGAAAGTAATACCACAGCTGATAAAAGCAAATAGCACCAAGAATTAATAAGCACAATCTTTTTCTTTTTTAATTGTGTGCTCACCAGCCTCCTCATAGAAGTATTAGCAACTGATGGATCATAAGAAGCAAATATGCAAATCTTTAGGAAAAACTGCAAAGCACATGCTATTCATTAAAGATTTAGGTACCTGCCAAATCACAGGCTTAGAGATTCAGATAATTTTACTCCGTTTCCTGAGGGAAAAGATAAAAAACAAACCACCTAAAAAACAAAACCCAAAACCTTTCTAACCTCAAAAAATTATGCTTTTGTCACCCTCCTATAAATAAAATATGGCTGAGGGGATTTTGCTTGCGGTTTTTTTAATGACAAAAAACAATCAAAGCCACTGAGCTAATGATATATTTGAAAAGGGTGATAGGTGTAAAAAACCTCAAGTCACCCTGGACTTGTATAATAAAAGAAAATAATCATTGTTAATTTTAATGCAGCTCTGACTTTGAGGGACCTGTAATACAGGAATGAAACCCAACAAAACAGGTAAGGAATAAATGACACAGGCATGCTGAAAACACAGGCATTACACAGGTACACTGAGGCTAGAAGAGATCAGGCTGAAGCATTTCTGTTCCCTCTGTTCCTACGAAGACTCGTGCTCCAGTGTGATACTGCTATTTGATATTCAATGAACCAGGGCATGGAACAGGCAACTGAATGGGGACAAAGGGCTGGCCCTCACAAGCCAAAGTTAGGAAACCCTTTGCAGCATGCAGGTGGCAGGTGAACCAGCTACCTGGGAAAACAGTCCGAAGAAGCTTATTTTGAAACTTTATCTCTTTGAAGAAAGCCTGTGAGCCTGACTGTTGAAAGAGAACTACTCTGAGGTTCCAGAGAGAACAGAAAAGAGAAGTTCTCAGAAAAGAGAAGAATTTAGCCTACAGTTTACATAGGACTGTGAGGCATTTGCCAGTAACCTTCTGCTTTTAGCTGTGAGACATTTCCAAGCCACACGCTGACCCTTCTCTTATGGGAAACTGAGAGACACAGCCAGTGCGAGGGGCTTTGTCTGGCTTTGTTGTGCCACCTAGAGCTGTGGTACAACAGGAGAGGAGGAGGATCCCTGCCTGGGACAGGCACAATTGGGATGCTGTTCCCACGCAAGATGGTGCTGGTGCTGGTGCAGGCCCCGTGGTGTCCGACAGCTCTGGGCAGCCCTGCTCCATGGACACGCTGTTCCCAGGTACC